TACAGTGAAATTCATGGAAATGTCAGATAAAGAACTTAGAATTTTCATGGTGACAAAGCTCACAGAGATTGAAGAAAAGAGAGAGAATGAACTGCTGAAGTGGCAGGGGAAAGAAGCTGATGAACTCCAAAGCAAAGTTGGCCCAGTCTGATAGTATCGTCCATAGAGTACTGGACTGCAGTGCTGGAAACTATAAGACCAATCACAGGTTCAGATTCCCCTAGTAGATCTGGTACATGCCCAGGGGGAGCTGGAGGGCTAGGGAAAGGGAATCTTGACTTGACATTGCACAAGCACACTCTCTTTGTCAAAAAGAAAGAAAATGAAAAAAAAAAAGAAAGAAAGAAGAAGCACACTCTCTTTATCAAAAAGAAAGAAAATGAAAAAAAAAAAAAAGAAAGAAAGAAAGAAAGAAAGAAATTAAATCTGTTTTGTTATTTTATTTGGAAAATAATTCTGAAAGATGGAGGGAAATATTTGCTACTATTTGGCCCAATGACATAAACTCCATTCCAAGTGTCAAAATAGATATTCCCATCATTATTGTGATTGAGTTAATGCATTCCTTCCCAGAGAGCACTTCCCAGTGTGTGGACAAGGCCAACATCACTGCCCTCACAACTCAGGCTTCTCAAGTAGGCTGCACCCACCAAACAAGAAGTCATCTAGTCCTATTTCATTAAGCCATCAGAAGAAGATTACCTTTATAGTTTTACTTGAACTCTGTTTACCCAAGTTTTTCTTCCTTTTGTTTATTTTTTTCTCTCAAAATATTTATGGTAGTTATTGATTTACATATAATCATTTCACATATTTGTAGAATACAGAATGTCTTTAAAAGCATGTATACAATGTGTAATAAACAAATCAAGGATATAAACATATTCACCACCTTATTGCACACCTTTGTAAACAGTTTCTTAGATCAGTCATGCCAGTGTATCTATGCTACTTGCTGATGGCAAGGCCTCCCAGCCCCTCTATGGCCCTCTACCCTCTCCAAGCTATGCCTCTATTGTAAGGGTGCTTTGTAATACCTAACTCTTCCATGCTGGAAGCAATACCAGCTATTAATGTGATGTGGATTACAGTGAATGAGGTACAAAAGTCAAGGGGGGTTAGAAAAAAGTCAGTGTTCTAGATCTTAAGATGCAGTCTGATCTAAGCATTGAGGAGACACGGAGCTATAAATAGAAAGGGAGGAAAGGGAAGGGAGAGAGAAAGAAAGAAAGAGGAAGGAGGAAAAGGAGGGAATTCATGGAGAAGAGAGGAGACAGAAGGGCAGGGGAGAGGGAAGGAGAGAAGGAAATAGGAGTGGAGAGGAGAAATTACCTTCACATAGAAGGAAGGACATGATAGGCTTGGGGTCGGATTTGGACGAGAACAAGGGGAAAGTTGGTGGAGGTGAGTTTAGAGGGGTGTTGGCTCCTGTCACAGCCACTCTGCTCTCAGAAACCCATCCTTCCATGGAGAAAGAAAGCCAGTGTCTATAATCCAAGCAACAGAACTGTAAACACAGGTGCACATATGGAAATGCACGCACGCACAAATACGCACATACACACAAAGAGCCTGTAAAACCAATATCTGAAAAAGCTCTGTGAATTGTGCCAATGCCAATGCCCCAGTTTTGATATTGTCCCATACGTAAGATATTACCATGGGTACGGGGGAGGTGAACTCAAAACGTAGCTGAAATGGCAGTCAGTTATGATGCAGAACTTCCAGAAGCTGTATGCCTTCCATACAGGAAGGTGGGAAAGGGCACGCTCAAGCTCTCTTTGCAACTTCCTGTAAAAAAACAATTATCTCAAACTATAGAATTTATTTTTAACAAAACCTCCAACAGAGTCATGAAATAGGAAATAGAGGGCTAGTTGCATAAGAGCTTCCCCATGTCTCAAACTAACCACCCACACAGAGGCCACGGGAATTACACCCAAGGACTTGGGAACTGCACTTCCAAAAGCTGTGTAGTTCGGTGTTGTTCCCTTCCCACCAACTCTAGCTGAAAGCTCACAACCGACTGAAAACTTCCAAGGCAAAGCTGTCCTTCCCTGGAAAGCTGGCTGGGTCTTGACCAGCCCAAAGAACATAGTCCACTAACAGAGAATAAGACACAAAAGTAGCTCTGCAACTGAGATTTGTTAAGACCCTGCTCACCCCGAGCCCAGCTTCTTTATCCAACTCTATTCTACTCTACTCACTGGGCCAAAAAGAAAAATGGTGCTAGAGGGATTGCATTGTTTCTGCTCTTGCTATGCAAAGCAGATGCTGTTGGCTGCTTTCCCAACATCTCTTGCTCATTTCCAGCAGGATTCACACTCTGCTGGTTTGGAGGAGCCTCAGGCAGGGGGGGGCAGCAGGGCAGTTGGGATGAGGCCCAGGCTGGGTCCACACACTCTACAATGGTATCTTCCCTCAGGCTGAAGCCACAGATGCTGACAGACAGATTGGGGGTGTAATACGGAGGCCAAGGAACAAATATTTAAAGTGAACAGGTCTTCTGTTTCACAGGAAAGAAACTCTTCTTTCTTCAGCTCATGTGCTGCTCAACAATGAAGCATCTGGAGGAAACGGTTATCCCTGCCCTAGAAGCCCCCAACACTGACTTTCATGAACTTACTTCATTTTATTGTTTCAGAAGATCCAAAGTCAGACTGTTCCGTTTATATATATATTAGAAGTGACTCAATGCAGAGGTCCATCCAAGGGAGAGTGCCCCACCCCGTCTCAATTATCTCTCATAATACAGAGAGTTCTTTTAAAAACACAGCCCTATGTCTTTTATTCTGCTAGGGGGTTCTGAGATATTTGTAGTATACCAGTATCAGTAATTGAGGGACTAATTCTTTTTTGAGAGAGAGAGAGAGAGAGAGATTTTTTGCTATAGGGTTCATGTGTTGCCTGGGGGAAAAAGAGACAGAGTGAAACTGCTCCCCCAGGGGGAGGGCCACGTTGTAATCCTTTCTCCTCCATTCTCCTTTTAGGAGTTTGGGCATGCATACACACATGGCCAGCATGCATTTCAAGCCACTGGGTTTAGGACTTGAGCTGTGTTAGGCCATATGGGAGTCCAGCACCATAACCACTAAGTCACCTGCTGGAACTAATTCTTTAAAGCAATGGTTCTCCACCAGTTGTGAATTTGTTCCCCAGTGGAGCTGTGGCAATGTCTAGAGACATTTTTGTTTGTCTCAAGTTGGGGAAGGGGTTGCTGCTGGGTCTAGTGAGTAGAGATCAGGGATGTTACCGAACACTCTAGATGCACAGGACTGCCCTGTTACAAAGGGTTATTTGAAACAAAACCTCAACCTTGAGAAACCTTGCTTTAAAGTTCTCAACAAATTCAGCGCAAATAATCTTTACTATTAAACTAACAAATAATTACCTGGGATGTAGTGTACTCTTTTTTTATTGAGAGAGATTTTTGCTATAGGGTGCCCGCACTCACCAGAGAGACAGAGATACAGAAAGCGAGAAATCATTTCCCAGCAGGGGTGGCCACGCCGTAATCCCTTCTCTTCCATTTTCCTCTCAGGATTGTGGACACGTACTCACATGTGCCCATCATGAGTTTAAGGCTATCAGGTCTGGGACTCAAATCATGGTTGACCATGTGGGAGTCACGGTTGACCATGTGGGAGTCCAGCAACGTAACCATTACACCATCAGCTGGTTCCAGCATGCAGTATAATCTTGAAACGTAACATTCAAGCCCAGCACTCAGAAACCTACCTCTGCAGCACCTAGTAAAGGAATGGCAGAGGTATACAAACATATAATATACACATGTCATGTACCTGAGTGGAGACACAAATGAAGACAAGGAAGGAAATAAGTTTATGAGGGCAGGATTGGAGGGCAACTGATGTCACTATCCGTAAGAGAACTGCAAACTGCATGTGTATCCTCAAAGACATACATCACTCTCACATAAAAATATGAAATAATGGCTAGGATATCTCACCAAACCCCGAAGCACTTTTTAAGCAATCTGTCTTTCCAGTTCTCTATACATCTCCTCAGAGAGAAGCAACCTACTGCTTGCTAAGATGATTTTCTCAACAATAATGTTTCAGAATCATTTATTCTTTCTGCCTTTGTTTTTAAAATATTGATAAACTTACAGTGTAATTCTATAACTGCTGATCAACTAAATAATACATACTTGCATTCTTTATTTTGCCTCAGATAGCAACTTGAATGTATCCACAGTTTTGAGAATGTGCCTTGCTAAACAGCTGTTGGTTGGTCTCTATCTTTCTAAACACTGAGTGCCAATTCTGTCATAAGAACTGTCATCTCCATATTCCCTGCTTCTGTTTTCCAAGCTGAAAGAAGCCCTGTGAAAATATACAGGTGATAGGACCAGCAGCTGGCGTAATGGCTATGTCTCTGGACTCCCATGTGGTCGACCATGGTTCAAGTCCCAGACTTTAAAAAATTATTTTTTTTTAACTGCCAGAGAGCATATGCATTTGCCAGAAAGAGAGAGGGATGAGGGAAGCACGCTGTCTCCTAGTAGAACATAGTCACACTGCAATCCCTTCTCCATCCTGTGGGGGATTTGGGGCATGCACACACACATACCCAGTGTGCTTTTGAAGCTGCTGTGGCTGGGATTTGATCCATGGTCAGCCATGTGGAAAATAGCTCCCTTAACCACCAGGCTATGGGGCTGGCCCTAAATATTGACATTTTTAACAGGTAAAGACATAACCCAACACAGTGCTCATGTTATGGATTGAGACCCAATTGTAATAACAACATTGACTAACCAACAGAGTGAACTAGTCGTTGACTTTGGAAAGACTGAAAGGAGTGAGTAAATATGTCATGGTCTTATTCCATAAGTCCAGATCCAATGTGGGGCAATATATTTTTGAATAGACTTTAGTGGTTAATGTAAACACAATAGAATTGATGTGCATTTGGAATATGAGTTTGCAGAGTACACCGCCTACTCAGTTAATAATCTATTGTTTTCTTCTTGGCAGACCCATTACAGGATTTTGGCCTTTCCATTGACCAGTGTGCCAAACAATTAAAATCAAATGTCAACATTAGATTTGGAATCATTCTGAGTAAGTAAAAATTATTAGCATGAAATAAAACATTGCACAGCCTCTTACTACTTCACACACCCAATGATTTGTATGGACTATTATGACCAGCTAAACTACTCCCCCACTACTCTCTGGCACTACCTCTGTTTCCATCTTCATTTGCAATTCTCTCTCTGGATAATATCCAGGTGGAGTAAAACTCTCATTTAATGCTATGTTTTTATAATGAAAAGACTCTAGGCCCTCACTGGGACAATATAAGCAGCTGAAATTAGTATACCTATTAAAAAAATACTTTGAGACTAAGTATTGATGTTTACACAGGAGAAAGCTTTTGCATAGTTATCTTACTAACAAATCCACTAGCAACATGCTTTTCCATTTGTGTTATTTTGACATAGACAAAGAAGAGTTGTAATAACTTCTCCTCCACCTCCATGACCAAGAGCACTTTCTGATCCTTTTATTTTGATAGGGTCATGCCATTGTAGTTAGTCAATATATTTGCAATAACCACTAGATCTCCTTTTCTAAAACAGTTTTATCACAACCAGAGCAAAGAGATTTAATAAACTTAGCACATAAAACCATTTCATGGAGAGAACACGCTCAGAGACCAAGACTGCTTACGTATCTTTGCATTTCTACAATCTTGCACAATATCTAGACTCTAGCAGCAGCTCAATACATGCTTTGGGGAGAAAAAGGAGAAAAAAACGAAGAAGTGAGAGGATCACAGAAGGGAGGACTGGAGAAAAAAGCAAAGGGAATTGAAGCCACCAGTATAGAGCATCCTGAAGCTCCCTGAGTTACCATGATGCAGTATCTGCCTGGGAAAAAGTGGCAAGAGTGTGAAGGCTTCACCGCTCTCTACCGCTATCATGAGGGCTAAATAATATTATGTGGTTAAGAAGTTCTGGAAGCTAGACCTGCAGACTTCACATTAAGGGGCCATAGCATCTGGGTAGGGAGACACAGTGACTAACTCCTTATTCCAAACAGGCGAGGTTTGGAAAAGGGCCACCATCCATACACTTGGTCACCTGTAGCATTGCCTAACTGCTGTTTTACTGAGAAGAGAGGGGAGGAAAACAAAACAAAACAAAACAAAACTATTCCCCAGATAGGGCAGACCAATAGAAATAAAAGATCCCTTCCTTCAGGCTGTTACAAATATTGAATGCCTTCAATATACAATGACACACACAATGGTAAAGTTGTTCTTCTCTTTCCTTTAGGGGAGGACATTAAAGAGCTGTTTCTTGACATAGCTCTTGTCAGTAAGGGATCGTCTATCTTGAATTTCTCCTACCCAGTCTGTGAGAAGGATTTCCCCAAGTTTTCTTTCTGTGGGAGAAAGAAAGGAGGTAAGCTGGCTGCCTTGCTAAGTGCTTGCAGAGGTCGGCAGAGAAATGAGGAAGGGCTTGTATCTGAGGTCAGGACACCCAGGCGAGCGTCCTGGCTCTGCCTCTCACCTGTTGATAATGAGGACAAGCGTAACCTCACGACTGTCCTCAGTTATAGAAAAATAAAAGTCAGTGACCTCACCTGGTGGCATAGTTGGGAGCAAACTGAACGGCTTGCTGGAAGCCACACGCGTAACTGTAGGTTTTGATTCCTGGTCACCTTGAACACATGTCCGGTGCACATGTGCAAGACCCTGACAAGTTGGAGGACTGGGGAAAGGAATTGCAGCATGATGAGGCCCTATTGAGAGTCTCTCTCTCTCTCTCTCTCTCTCTCTCTCTCTCTCTCTCTCTCGGAAGAAATAAATAAAAAAATAAACATTAGAAAAAAGTGACTAATGATGTTTATGCAAGGCACTTAAGGCATCGAATCTTAGCAAACAGAAAGTACATTTTCTTATTCCCACATGTCAGAAAATCTTACTGTTTTTTTCTGTGTGTGTGATTTGAGTAAATTAATAAAACAGAAGAAATAGTGTTCCCTCAAACAATGTGAGGTGTCCCATTCAGTTTAGCAGCTCAAGAGGCTGCTGCCCACCTTATTTGAATGCTGGGCAGTCCTGCAGCCATTTACTTGTTTTTATTGCTATGGGGATGATTACATAGGCAGGCTGAGAAGCAGGCACTTGGGGAATTGCCAGGAAATTTCACGTAGTATAAAATGATCAGAAAAGTGATATACAAATGCTGCAGGAACTAGTAATTATGTAAATCCTATGAGTCAGGGAAACTAAAATCTTAAATGCAGAGGCTTCTTGGGTTATCAACTTTTTTTTATTTTTTGCTATAGGACACGTACGCTTGCCAGACAGACAGAGAGACAGAGAGACAGAAAGCAAGAAATCACACCCCCCCCCAGGGGGGATGGCCATGCCGCAATCCCTTCTCCTCCATTCTCCTCTTGGGATCTTGGGCATGCACGCACATGCGCCCAGCATGAGTTTTAAGCCACCGGGTCCAGGACACGAACCATGGTCGACTACATGGGAGTCCAGCAACATAGCCATTACGCTAACTTGCTGGTCCCTCAACTTTTTTTAACCCACCCACAAACCTAGAGGAATGATCCTATTCCAAAGAAGTAGTTAATACTAAGACGAGAAGGGTGGGGTGGATAGCACCAGGTGAGAATGGAAGTTCACCCAAATGTAAGCAGAAGCTGTGGTTGAACTATTAAGCATGAAACAGAGTCCCTCTGGGGCTTAAAGAGCCATCTTTGCAGGATGGTGGAAATCCTTGGTGTCCACTGGGGGCAGGAGGGCAGCACGTTCTGGTGTCAGTTGTAGTTGAGTGGTTTGCTATCGTTTCCAAGACAGGACTATGTAAGTCTCTGAAAACCACATCCTACTGGCCGGACTCCAAGCCAGATAAAACCACAAAACTTGGTGAAACGTGATGAGATTACAAGTATAAATGTTGTCTCCTTTTCCTCTGCATCTTCCTCAGCAAGTTCTAAATCAAGAAGCCCATTGCAGAGGGCTACATGGTGGTATAATGATAAAGCATGAGCTTTTGCAAGGCTGACCTGTGACTCTTATGATTGGCAGAGAGTCACTTACAGCGCATGAAATAAGTACTTGAGACACAGAGATCTGAGTCAAGAGGGAGAAGGAGAGGCCATACCAGGGATGGAAGGAAAGCTACTTTCTGGAGAAAGTTGCTTTTATGAGAATCTGAAAAATAAGGGTATTTCCTGGAACAGGTTGGGGGGCTGTGGCTAAATGACTCCAGCGGCTGGACAAAACACCTTGGAATTTAGAAAACACATTTGTCAGATCGCACACCCATCTAACGGCCTCCTGTTGTTTGCAAGCTGAGAGGCCACATTCCCTGAGCATGCCTTCACTCATCTCAGAGTTCACAGATCCATGGTGTTCTAGAAGCATGACATTACTGTTGTTCTCTACTACTGACCTACGGAGGAACGTTCCAGATTCACATCTGGAGACCTCCCTGAGTACACTTGGCATGCATGTGCCCATGAGCCAGGGCTGGCTGGGGCTGGAAGGAGATCACTGTGTCAAGAACCTATTGGGGGTGCTGTCTCTGTTTCTCTCTGTGCCTTTCTTACCAATGGAAGGAATAAATAAATAAATCTTTTTTTAAAAAAGCACATCAGATTCAAAGACCAAGCAATGTTTCTTTAGTATCATCATCATGATATTATGGGCACTTGAAAGAGGGAAGAGAACCGATATGTCCAATTACAGGGCATTGATTACGTAGGTCATTGTTCGGCTGTTCTAACAGAGGTATAGTATGCTGTGATTTTAAATAATGTTGTAGGAGATTATTTAACTACATGCATGAACATATAGTCATAAAAATATCATATTGCTAAATGACAAGCATGTCATAAACCTACTATTTTTTGGAACCTGACTTTATTGGAAACATGCCACTATTGGTCTGCACTAACTCCAGTGAGTGATAGAAGCAAACTGAGATGCAGGGCATCCAGCTGGTCTTGGAGAATTGGTTACTAAGGGAAAAATAATTCCACACATTTCTGGTAGCCAGAAGTGGTCTGCATGAATATAGCAGAAGAAATAAAACTTTTTTTTTAATGCAGCCTCATTTTAATACATGAGGAACTTAAGTCCCAGAGTAGTAAGTAACTTGCCCAAGGTCATGAAGCCTTGTAGACAGAGGGGCTGAGTTTTTCTCCAGCCTACAAACCTCTGCTCTGTACCCTCTGGGAACACAAAGAACACTCCTGGAGGTAAAGCCTTCCACTAGGACTGAGAAAAGGATTTCAAGGGCATCACCAAATTACAGGGATCGAATGACCATGTTTGGCCATAACCAGCCATTATTATAAGACAATTGTTCTCAAAGTGTGGTCCTCAGACCCGTAACATCAGCTTCATTTAGGAAATTATTAGAAATGCAAATTTCTGGTCCCCACCAAGACTTACCACAACTGAAAACTCTGGGCTGGGACCTTAACTGTCAGTGTTTTAAGAATGTCTTTAGGTCATGAGTAAGCAAGCTCTTTTCTGGAAAAGATAAAATAGTCAATATTTGGGACCAGCAGATGGCATAATCGTTACATCTCTGACTCCCACATAACTGACCATGGTTTGAATCCTAGACTGGCAGTTTAAACTTAAGCCAGGTGCCTAAGTGCATGTGCCCAAAATCCCGAGAAGAATGGAGAAGGGATTGTGGTGTGGCCATCCCCCCAAGGGGTGATTTTTTGCTCTCTCTCTATCTCTCTGTCTCTCTGGTAAATACACACACTCAATAGCAAAGAATCTCTCTTAAATAAATATATAGTGAAAAGGTTTATTCATTTGTTTCTTCCATGAGAGAGAAAGAGCCAGAAAAATTAAGTGACAGACCCTCAACAGGGTCTTTTTTTAAAGAGTATTTTTAATTGTAAGATGACTATGAGAGTGCTAGAGGCCATCTCCATTTTCTTTTTCTTTTTCTTTTTTGAGATATTTTTGCTATAGGATGTGTGTGCTTGCTGGAGAGACAAGGAGACAGAAAGTGAGAACTCTCTATTCCCAAGAGGGGCAGCCACACCACAATCCCCTCTCCTTCGTTTTCTTCTCGAGATTTTGGGCATGCACACACATGTGCCTGGTGTGAGTTTTAAGTCACCAGGTCCAGGACTCAAACCTGGGTCGACTACGTGAGAGTCCAGTGATGTAATCATCACACTAACTGCTGGTCCTTCAACAGGGTCTTCATGCAGACCCAGAATGCATGCATGGCATGACCAGGAGGTTCTAGGATGCAAATCCAGGACCTTTCCCACGTGGCTCAAGTTGTGTTACTTCTGGTGCCACCTCCTGGCACCAAAATTTCGATGTCCTTTCTCAGTGAGGTTTATTTTATCCAACAAATTTCATAGAATATCTCAACCCAGGAAGATGAGGATGAAATGATAAGTTAAAGAGAGCCAGAAAAGAAAAATATGATGATAGAGCTCATTATTGAACATGAGACTCAGGCATCAACCTTTTCAATAAGAACAGGCCCCTCTATGTGATACACTCCACCCAAACTAAAAATGGGGGGGGGTTACTCAAAGGAGCAGAGTGGGTCTTGTTCTGACTATATTGTATAAATACAGATAGAAACAAGATTCTCACCTGGAAATGGACCTTGAGATGTGGATAGAGACCCAGGTTAGGACCATAAGATAAAACAGAAGAAACTGATGGTTTTCACTCTTGATGGCAAGAGACATGTCAACTGTCAAACCTGGTTTTGGCTAAATCTCTATCAGTTCTGGTCAGGGCAGGTCAAGCCATGCAAAATGATTTCATGGCCCCAAGTGAATCACTGGCTTCTAAAAATAATTCTGTCGTGGATTGACTTGCAGATACCAGTCATACCCAATCTATTGCCAAAAGCAACTGAAATGAAAATAAAGCCCCAGTCATACCCAATCTATTGCCAAAAGCAATCGAAATTAAAATAAAGCCTGGGGAAGTTAAATCAGCTTGGTATGTGTGTGTACACGTGCATACACTTGACATAAATGACTATAAACTAGGAGATATATAGGGCAAGGGCTCTATTTAGAGGTCTTGACAGCTATGACTAATTTGCTGCAGCGTGATGCAAAATTGAGAGGATTTAATGACCCCATATTCATGTCAGAATCCCAGACAGGTACAGAGATGGTAATGCCCATGAGACCTGCTGCGTCGTTCTCTGTATGAGCCCTTTTTCAGATTGAGCAAAATCTACTATGAAATAGATAATATCATTATCCGGATATAGACATACTTCCCTTTGGACAATGAATGCTACAGGAAACAAAACATAAGTTTGGACTTTACTTTCAAGACATCCATTTGAAAAGCTTGTCATTAAAAGCAATATTAAAGTGGCATCCGTGCAAGCAGAAGAATTCTTTAATCGAGGAAATAATTGCTCCCTAG